TGGCTATTGTATTTTTCAATTCTAAATTTTTATTCAGTTCCTTTCATATATTCTACTTCTTTGCTGAGACACTTTATTTTTGTATTTCTTTTAAGTATGTTGAAGCATTTTTATCATGGCTACTTTTAAAATCTTGTCAGATAATTCTAACATCTGTGTCATCTCAATGTTAGTGTCTGTTGATTGTCTTTTCTCATTCAAGTTAAGATTTTCCTGCTTTTCATATGATGCCTGGTTTTCAATTATGTCCTGGATATTTTGGGAAGTAGGAGACTCAGGATATTATTTGAATCTTGTGTTTAATAGGCCTCCCCTGACTCTGTTCTGCTAACAAAAACAGAATCTCCTCCTTACTGCCAGATAGAGGTGGAAGATCAGGTTCTCCACTTGGCCTTCTTTGATATCCCAGAGGGGGATGAGCACCTTGTTGCTGCTGACCAAAGGTTGAATGGCAGGCTCTCCACCAGACTGCTTCTTTCACTACCCTGGTCAGGAGACAGAAGGATATCTTGTCACTAGATAAGGGTGGAAGTTCAAGATCTCCAGATAGCCCAAACTGACACTATGGGGAGGGGCCTCATTACCCTCAGGTAGGGATGAAAATCTATTCTCCCCACTCAGCCTTTGCTGATAGTAATGAGGCTGTGGAGCCCCAGTTTTTCCTGTGATGCTTGGCTGGCGTAAGGCAGTTATTATCTAAATGTTTATGTCTTGCTACATTGCCCCCTTCTTGGTACTCTGGCTAGAGAGAGGCAAAGTTTTTGTCTGTGCCAATTGGCATTCTAAGTTTCCAGCCTCCCCAGCACCTAGTCCAGGATATATGGGGCAATAAGAAAACTCAGGGAAATCACTGCTGTGTCATTCCTCAGGTTCTGAGATCTCTAGCGAGTTTGACTTCTTCTCTCCAACTGAGAGTCTTCTTATCTTTGTTTTATATGTAATGACCAGTGTTTGTAGATGTACTTAGCAAGGTGGAGCAAGGAAGAATCATGTGTATTCCATTTTGGTCCCATTGGTAATGTTTTTGTTAATTTTTTAAAATTTATTTTTCAATCACCATTGGTAATTTTTAACTTAATTTTTTGAATACGTAGTACATTCACTTGGTTCTGTCCCCCCATTCCCCAAGTCTCCGTAGCACAGAAAACCCGTCCTGATTAGTTTGTGGGTGTATGGGTGGGTGGGGTATATGCTTAGAGATTATGCAAATCAAAACAACTAAGAAAGTATCTTTAATATATTTCCACACAAAAAATAGAGATACTGTTACTGTTATATTGATCACTGAATTTTTTTTAAAATACTGTTAAGTTTTACCTTTTATCATGAAATATTCCACACATTTTTTAAAAAGATTTTATTGGGAAATTGGGGAAGGGGAACAGTGTTGGGGAATTGGGGAAGGGGAACAGCCAAGCTGTTGTCCTTCGATCTTAGTTGTGGAGGGCGCAGTTAGCTCAGCTCCAAGTCCAGTCACCTTCCCGCCACCTGTTGGCAGCGCAGTGGCAGCTCAACTCAGGTGCAGCTCAACTCAGGTGCAGCTCACTGGCCCATGCGGAAATCCAACCGGCGACCCTGTTGATCAGAGCTCACGCTCTTAACCAACTGAGCCACTCGGCCGACCCCTATTCCACACATTTTGAATAATGCTGCTGTAAATATTCTTGAACATGACTCCTGCTGCACATGTGCACATATTTCAATTGGGCATAGTTCCATGAGTGGAATCACTGTATCCTAGTGTATGAATGTCTTCAACACCAGATAAAGCAAAAATGCTTTCCAATGTGATTGTACCAATTTACACTGCCATCAGCCATATGAGAGCTCTCATTGCACCATATTCTCTTCATCACTTCATATTATCAGTCTTTTTCATTGAAGACTTTCTAGGGGTTGTGTAGTGGTATCTAATTGTGGTTTTAATTTGCATTCCCTGGTTACTAAGGAGATTAAGCCCTTTTCCTGTGTCTATTGATACTTTGTTTTTTTTTTTTTAATCTTTTTTTTTGTTTGTTTTTGTTTTTTTTTAGATTTTTTTTTATTGGGGAGTTAGGGGGATGGGAACAGTGCTGGGGAATTGGGGAAAGGGGAACAGACAAGTTGCTGTCGTTTTGTTCTTCAATCTAGTTGTGGAGGATGTTGCTTCACTGGCCCAAGTTGGCACCATCATTGCGCTCTTCTCTGGCGAGGCAGATCAGTCGCCGGCTTCTGGACGGCCGCTCACTGCGGCTGCTGGCCGCTCACGCTGGCTGCTGGCCACACACGGTAGCCCATGGCAATCCACTGCCACAGGGGCTGCAGCCCACGCCGTCGCCGGCAACTCGTGGCAGCCCAGCTCCAGGTTGAGCTGTTGTTCAGCATCTTAGCTGTGGAGGGCAGTGTCACTGGCCCTCATATGTGGGATCCGAACCGGGGCCCTCTGGTGTCCCAAGCGAGTTCTTAACCATCGCGCCACTCGGCCGGCCCTGTCTATTGATACTTTGGATTTCCACTTTTGTAAAATGCTTGTTCAAATCCTTTGCCCAATTTTCTACTAGATGGTCTCTTTTCTTCCTATTGCTTTATAAGAGTTATGAGCTCTCTAACTATGAGCCTTTGTCCATAATAGGTGTTGCAGTATCTTCTATTTTGTGGCTTTCCTTTTTTGTCTTACAATGCTATCTTTTAAATTAATAGAAATTTTGAACTTTATTGTAAACAGACTTATCAATCTTTTTCTTTATGTTAATGTTTTTGCTTCCCGTTTGAGACTTATTTTCTTAATCCAAGATCATGAAGATATTGTCTGTATTATTTTTAAAGTTTTCATTGTTTTGCCTTTCCCCCCATTCATTTCTTCCAAATACCTTTTAGCACCCCTTTTGTCTTCCAATGTTAGTTGTCCAAGTCTTTAATCTGTTCTACATTTTATTTTATTCTATTGCCATTTCCTAGCACATAATCAATCAGTAAATTAATTGGAACTATTAATTGTATCTAGTTCCTACATTAACTAGAGGACTTAGAGAGCCCATCTTAATCCTCAGTTTTGTAAAAAGGAATGACTGTACCCAAAGTAATCTATAGATTCAGTGCAATCCTTATCAAAATACCAATGGCATTTTTCACAGAACTAGAACAAATAATCTTAAATTTTATATAGAACCACAAAAGACCCCTAGTAGCCACAGCAATATTGAGAAAAAAGAACAAAATTGGTGGTATTACGCTACCTGATATCAAACTATATTACAAAGCTGTAGTAATCAAAACAGATAATACTGGCATAAAAACAGACACATAAATCAATGGAACAGAATAGAGAGCCCAGAAATAAACACATGCCTGTATGATCATTTAATCTATGACAAAGGAGGCAAGAATATATAATGGGGTAAAGATGGTGTATTCAATAAATGTCCTAGGAAAACTGGACAGATACATGCAAAAAAAAAAGAAAAAAAAGAAACTGGACCACCTTACTCCATATACAAGAATAAACTCAAAATGGATTAAAGACTTAAATGTAAGACGTGAAACCATAAAACTCCTAGAAGACAATATAGGCAGTAAACTCGCCAACATTGTCCTCAGTAAAATTTTTTGTGATATATCTCCTCAGGCAATGGAAACAAAATAAAAAATAAACAAATGGAACTACATCAAACTAAAAAGTTTTTGCACAACAAAGGAAACCATTAACAAATTGAAAAGACAGCCCACTGAATGGGAGGCTGTATCACCAATGATACATCTGATAATGGGTTAATATCCAAAATTTATAAAGAACTTATACAGCTCAACAACAACAAAATAAATAAAACCCAAACAATCCAATTAAAAAATAGGTAGAGGAACTGAATAAATGTTTCTCTAAAGAGGACATACAGATGGCCAATAGACATATGAAAAAATGCTCAATGTTACTAATCATTAGAAAAATGCAAATAAAAACCACAATGAGATATCACCTCACACCTGTCAGAATGGCCATCATCAATAACTCAATAAGCAAGTGTTGTCAAAGATGCAGAGAAAAGGGAACCCTCGTACACTGTTGGTGAGATTGCAAATTGGTGCAGCCAGTGTTGAAAATGGTTTGGAGGTCCCTCAAAAAATTAAAAACAGAACTACCTTATGACCCAGCAATTCCACTTCTGGGTATTTACTCAAAGAAATTCAAAACACTAATTTGAAAAGTTATATGCACTCCTATGTTCATTGCAGCATTATTTACAATAGCCAAGATACGGAAGCAGCCCAAGTGCCCATTAATAGACAATTGGATAAAGAAGATGTGGTACATATATACAGTGGAATATTACTGAGCCATAAAAAAGAATGAAATCTTAACCATTTGTGACAATATGGATGGACCTAGAGAGTATTATGCTAAGTGAAATAGGTCAGACCGAGAAAGACAAATACCATATGATCTCACTTATATGTGGAATCTAAAAAACAAAATAAATGAACAAACAGAACAGAAACAGACCCATAAGTTCAGAGAACAAACTGATGGTTGCCAGATGGGAAGGGGGTTGGGGAATTGGGTAAAAAAGGTGAAGGGATTAAAAAGTACAAATTGGAAGTTACAAAATAGTCACAAGGATGTAAAGTACAGCATAGGGAATATTGTCAGTAATATTGTAACAACTATGTATAGTATCAGGTGTGTACTAGGCCAATTGGGACATCACTGCATAAATTATATAAATGTCTAACCACTATGTTGTACACCTGAAAGTAATATAAAATAATATTGAATGTCAACTATAACTGAAATAAAAATAAATCATTTAAAAAAGAATGACTGAATGAATAAACTAATGAATATATTACACAATGAGTGTCAAGATACTTCAATGAGTTTTTTTTTCTCTCACAAAAATTAGATACTGAGTGAAAACTCTACAGGACACATAATGGTAAAAGTCATTAAAAACAACTTCCTATTTATCTTCTCCCCATCCCCTTGTGCTGACCATGTCACCTTTAACAGGATTGTGTTATTACAGGTCTCAGTGTCATTCGAGGATGTGACGGTAAACTTCAGTAGGGAGGAGTGGCAGCACTTGGAACCTGCTCAGAGACGCCTGTACCGGGATGTGACACTGGAGAACTACAGCCACCTGCTTTCCGTGGGTAAGCACAGCTGCCCTATGTGTCTGCCAGGGGCCTCAGTGAGGTTATTTCCATTCTCAGCTGCTGAGTGCTCTGGGACATCTCAAGTGTGGGATGGTGTCATCCTTGATTTGCTGAGATTCTTCAATCCCTTTTCACCTCTGTGATTATTACTCTATTCCAGAGAAATGTGATTTTGTTTTTTGAAGAGCAAATGGAAGTGCCATTGAAAGGTCCCTGAAACCCATTGAGCTGGACCCAATCCTGTCTCATGTCTTGTTAACAGGGTACCAAGTTCCCAAACCAGAGGTCATCTTCAAGTTGGAGCAAGGAGATGGGCCATGGATGTTGGAGAGGGAAACCCCACATCAGAGCTGTTCAGGTGAGTAAATGTAAGCATAACCCAGGAAGATGGGGGACATGGAAGTAAATCTCACTTTTGTAGGAGAGATCAATACTTTCCAAAGGCTGTGAAGATAATCTGTTTTGGAAGTTCTAAACTTTTGGACTTCCTTGGAGATGGTTGACATAAACCCCTGTGATACCTAAATGCCATCTCCAACTATGACTCTTGCAACATCTATTGTCTTCTATCATTGGCTTTTTGACAAGAAAGCTGTCTCTAATCTTGTACCCTGGATCACATACATACCACCCTATTTTATCTAGGACTTTTTATTCTTCCTACTCCACCTTCACACATACTCCCCCTTATCTTAGATTATTTCCTTGTACATTCAGGTATTTTTAAATGTCTTCCCTTCCCTTTTCTTTTTTTTAATTAAAGTTTATTGGGGGGACAACTGTTAGCAAAGTTACATAGATTTCAGGTGTACAACTTTGTAATACATCATCTATACATCACATTGTGTGTTCACCACCCAGAGACAGTTCTCTTTCCATCACCATATATTTGACCCCCTTTACCCTCATCTACCACCTCCCTCCCCACTTACCCTCTGGTAACTAGTGTCTGTGTCTATGAGTTTTTGTTTCTTCATTTGTTTGTCTTGTTCCTTTGTTGCTTTCAGTTTTATATACCACATATGAGTGAAGTCATATGGTTCTCTACTTTTTCTGTCTGACTTATTTCACTTAACATTATAATCTCAAGATCCATCCCTGTTGTCGCAAATGGCACTATTTCATCGTTTCTTATGGCAGAATAGTGTTCCACTGTGTATATATATCACAACTTCTTTATCCAATCATCTATCGAAGGACACTTTGGTTGTTTCCATGTCTTGGCCACCGTAAATAAAGCTGCAATGAACATTGGAGGACATTATCCCTCCTCCCATGGGCTACTGATCTAATGTATTTGATCTTTGAATTTGTGTGGTATTCTCTTAAAGCCTGAAGTATTGGTTTATGAGTATGTATTTTTAGTATATATAAATTATATTGTGCTCTGTGTTTTAATTCTGTTCCCTTTTTCACTCATCCCTAAGGTCTGTCCATATTGTAGTGTGTTCACCTGGCTGTTTCTTCAAATTGCTGCATAGTATTCAACAGTGTGCCATCACCACATCTTACTTAACCAGTCATTCAGTGGTGGAGTCTAGGGTTGTCGCTAACTCCCAGCTAATACAAACAACTCTACAATAAATTTCTACATAAATCTTCCCTTATGGAGTGTGCGAATTTCTCAGGAATGCATATAGATGAGAGGGATTGCCCGACCATTGCATAATCTCATCCTAAATTTGACTGAGCACTGCCATATTATTCTCAGATTGTCTGTACTCATCTACGTATATTCCCAGCAAAAGTGCACAAGTGTTCTTGATTTCCTAGAGTTTCTGCTAACAATTAGTAGTACCAAAGTTTCTCGTTTTTTGGCCAACAATGGAAATAAGTGGTATCTCATTTTTTATTTTGCATTTCTCCAGTACCTAGTTTGAGCATTTCATTACTGACCTGTTGTCTAAGTGTCCCTCTTATGAGTGACCTTGTTCATGTTCTCTTTCTTTCAATTGAGTTTCCTATCTGTTTCTTCATGATTTGCATCCAATATATTATTTTCTCTTTTTTTCCACCCTTCTCTTCCTCATTACCCCATAAGTGAGGTACCCTATCTACTGTTCACCAGTCTTTTTTTGTTCGTATACATGCAATGATTAATCATTTTATTATAATTAAAATTCTCATGATTCTGCTTTTGACATCTCCAGTCTCTGTTTTTCATTGGTGCTTTAAGTACTAGATTTAGCTACCCAGAAAGTTTCCATGGGAGTTTCTCTTGATCGTCAGTATATTGGAAATGGAATATCACCCTATATATCAGAAAACCTTCTCACCTTCCAAATTTTGTCACATTCTGTCTGTTTCTTAAATCTTTTGGTCGTTTTAATTAATCACTCTATAATTCCTATTGTTTTTTCATTTTTGCAAATATCATTTTCAGTTCATCTTCTCAGTTCCAAATAATATCACCTAAAACCAGTTCCATATTTTTTATGTCTGGGTTATGATTATTTTAGTGCTGATTAGATTTGCTAATTCCACTCTTTTTACTAGTTTGCTTTTAATGCTAATGACAGATTTCATTGCCATTCTATTTATCTTGCCATGAGCTTTATGAAACAAACCTACAATTACTCCCCATTACCTAGTATGTGACAATCAAACTGTTCTTTCAAAGAGATAAACAACATGGCTGTGTGTTTCCAATTCAACCCTGTGTCATTATATTTTCCATAAACTCTGCTTAACTCCATTTTTCACATTTTTTATGATTCTGTGAGTTTTATTTATATTAATAATTCTATGAGTTTTGACAAATGTGTACAGTCATTGTAACTACCACAAATAAGATATAGAACAAAAAATTACCTCACGCCCCTTGGCTATCACTCCTTCCCATCACTTCCAGCCCTGGAAACTACTGATCTCTCTTATGTCTCTATAGTTTTGCCTTTTCCAGAAAGTCATATGAATGAAATCATATAGTATGAAGATTTTTGAGCCTGATTTTTTTTGCACAATGCATTCAGAACTTATTCATTTTGTTGTATGTTTCCATAGATATTTTTTATTTCTGAGTAGTATTCCATAGTATGGATATGCCACAGTTTGTTTATCCATTCACCAGTTGAAGAATATTTAGATTGTTTCCAGTTTTGGTGACTATGAAGAAAGGTAATATAAACATCTGCTTACAGATTTTGTGTGATAATAAGATTTCATTTCTCTAGAGTAAATATTTAGGAGTGGGATTGCTGTGTTGTATGATAAGTATATATTTAACTTTATTAGATGCTACCAAACTATTTTCCAATGTGACTATACCATTTTATAGTCTAACTAGCTATGTATGAGAGTTCCAGTTAATCTACATCCTTACCAGCACTTGGAATTTTCCATTAAAACAAACTTCAGCCATTCTAATAGTTGAGTAGTGGTATCTTACTGTGGTTTTAATTAGCATTTCCATAACATCTAATATCTGACATTCATATATCTTCTTTGGTGGAGTGTTTATACAACTCTCTTTTTGTACCAATCTTTTGCCCAGTTTTCTACAGAGGACTTGGTTTTCTTTTATGGATTGCGCTCTTGGTGTTGTATCTAAGAGATCTTTACCTAATCCAAATAGTTTTATATTTAGTTTTGTGATCCATTTTGTGTTAATTTTTGTATGTGATTTAAAGCATGGATCAAAGTTCATTTTTTGTATGGGACTATACAATCATTCCAGCATCATTTATTTTAAAAACTGTCGTTTATTAACTGAATTCCCTTTGTACCATGAGGGGTTGGCAAAGTTTTGAGATGGAAGAGCCAATCCTGTCCCTCGAAGTTTTGCGAGACCTATAAAACAAATGAAATCAACCCTTATGTGAATAATATCCTTTAAAAATTTTATAAATGAAACTATGATAGTTTTATTTTCATTTTCAATTTTACTTTAGAGCCACATGTACGTACCCAAAGAGCTGCATGTGGCTCACGAGCCACAGTTTGCCAACCCCTGTGTGCCTTTATTGAAAATCAGTTATCATTTTGTGTGTGGGTCTCTTTCTGGACTCTTCATTCTGTTCCATTGATCTAGTCATCTATCTTTTTTTTTTTTTTTTAAAGATTTTTATTGGGGAATTGCGGGGATGGGAACAATGCTGGGGAATTGGGGGAAGGGGAACAGACAAGTTGCTGTCCTTTTGTTCTTCAGTCTAGTTGTGGAGGACGTTGCTTCACTGGCCCAAGTTGGCACCATCATTGCGCTCTTCCTGGGCGAAGCAGATCAGTCGCCGGCTTCTGGACGGCTGCTCACTGCGGCTGCTGGCCGCTCACGCTGGCTGCTGGCCGCTCACGCTGGCTGCTGGCTACAGACGGTAGCCCATGGCAACCCACTGCCACAGGGGCTGCAGCCCACGCCGTCGCCGGCGACCCACGGCAGCCCAGCTCCAGTTTGAGCTGTTGTTCAGCATCTTAGCTGCAGAGGGCAGTGTCACTGGCCCTCATATGTGGGATCCGAACCGGGGCCCTCTGGCATCCCAAGCGAGTTCTTAACCATTGCGCCACTCGGCCGGCCCCTAGTCATCTATCTTTACACCATTCCCATACCGTCTTGATTAGTGTAGTTATATAATAAATTAGAAATGTAACATTAGTCCTCCAACTTTGTTTTCTTCTCTTTCAAATTGTTTAGGATATTCTAAGTCCTTTGTATAGTCATATGAATTTTAGAATCAGTTTTTCAATTTCTACAAAAGTGAATTTTAATTGGGGTTACATTGACTTAGAGCAATTTGGAGAGAATCAAAGTCTTAACATTATTGGGTCTTTCGACTCATGAACAATTATATTCTTCTCAGCAATGTTTTCTAACATTCAGTGTACAGGTCTTGGGCATCTTCTATCAGATTTATCCCTAAGTATGTTATATTTTATGCTATTTCCCCCAGCTTTACTAAGATTTGATTGACATACAACATTATGTAAGTTTAAAGTGTACAATGTGTTGATTTGATACATTTATAAATTGCAAAATGATTACCACTGTAGTGTTAGCTAACACCTCCATCCCGTTACATAGTGACCATTTCGTTTTTGTGGTAAGAACATTAAAATCTATTCTTTTAGCAACATTCAAGTATATGATACAGTATCATTAGCTATAATCACCATACTGTACCTTAGCTCACCAGAACTTTTTTTTTTTAAAGATTTTATTGGGGAATTGGGGAAGGGGAACAATGTTAGGGAAATGGGAAAGGGGAACAGCCAAACTGTTGTCCTTCAATCTTAGTTGTGGAAGGCGCAGCTAGCTCAGCTCCAAGTCCAGTCGCCATCCGGCCGCGCATCAGCAGCTCGCGGCCGCTCAGCTCAAGGTGCTGTGTTCAATCTTAGTTGTGGGTGGGCATAGCCCACCATCCCATG